TTACGTAATATATATGTTTTTACTTCCTTCAAACATTGCTGGAATTACCCTTCCTTTCTCTAGTCAGATTTATTTTCTACTTCAAAGTCCCACTGGATTAAAAAAGATCCTCTACCCTGGTGATAATTTAGCTTTGCTATATATCATTCATTAAATCAAGTAAATTTTTTAATTGGGGCCAAATGTCACAAGTTTTGATCTATCTCGGTGTCTACACAATGCTTTCCATAAGAAGCTCTTAATATTGAGAGATAAGAGTTTTTGAAGAGTTAATCTTAAAAAAGAAAGAAGACTTTACCTTAACCTATTTAGACTAAAAAAGATAATAACCAAATGTTTCAAGGAAAGTGATTTGTGTTTTCCACTAATTTCAGCAAAAAGAGTGAATGACTTGATAATTATTCTCCTACTTTTTCTAATTAGAAAAATTTTCTGTCATTGAGAGCTTCAAAGCACTGCTGAAAGTTTCTCATCAAATGCAATGGAAAGCATTGATTGAATTTGATTTTAAATGGATAAATTTACAATTTTTATGCGTTTTGAAGATTTTGTTATGTCTCATCCACTATCACTTTTTCCATTACCATACTGAAAACTAAGGGTATGGAACTTAGAATGCATTTAGAAGAATAACAGGTGATATGAATTCTTGGTCCTAACTGATTTCTCTGGGAATAGAAAAACCCAGGACCAAAACTATCTTTGTCTGGTTCTATTCCTGTATAAATTAAATTTTAAAGATCTTTCCAGTTTTACATCTTATAAATATGAATGCCTTGAGTCTATTTTGCATTAGCATCTAAAAAATACACACAAATTTCTAAGAAGTAATCTGCTTGTCTCATGCCCTTCCTTTCATGTATCTTCAGAGCCACTTTGGCAACACGATCTTCCCAAAACACATATCTCATTGCACTGCTTCCCTGTTTCATCATACTTCCATCACTTTTAGGGTAAAATGCAAATGTTATAACATGGCAGTCAGGAGCCTTCCTGATGTGGTCTCATCTTATTACTAAAGTTTTATATGAAAGAGTTTCCTATACATATTCTATTTTAAAATCAAATATACTAATAGCCTATCCTTGAAGATGGAGTGTTCGTTCTTGTTCCTGCGGCTTTGTTTTTGATGTTTCCTTTACCAATTGTGGCTTTCCCCACCTTCCCTACTGGACAGCTTCTATGAACTGAAGGTTAATGAGTCTTATGTCTTTCAGGAAGACTTTTCTTTAGCACCTAACCTTGCTGTATAGTCCTTATAGTCCTTATCACATTGATGCATGCAAAGGAGTATACAGACTTATTTTCCTCTCACTAGTAACTAAACAGCTGAGCATTCAGTTCAGTGAATATTGGTTTAATGAACAAAATTACTTATCTAGTTTTGTTTTCCTTAAAGTATAGGGATATAGGTATGATTATTTGTATGACATTTCCTCAGTGAGATGACTAGAATACACAGGAAATGATTGCTCCAAGCTACTTAAGACAATCATCCTAATCTCTCATTTTTTGCACCCCGTTGCTTAGAACATTGGGGTGAAAACATTTGAGGTGTCTTAAAGACATGCAAAGACATTTGGACTTTGTTCTTTGGTACTATGGCCAAATTCCTTGTTAGAGAAATTATGATTGGCTAGGGATGGCTAGGTGGGGCGTGTAAACTGGGAGAGAAAACAAATTGGAGATTGTCGTATTAAATAGTATTGAATTTATTTAACTGCATGTAGGTGGTAAGGGAAATAAGAGGGATTAATAATGCCAGATTTCATGAGTGAGCAATTAGTGGGGATTGTACTACATACCTACTTGAAGTCAGAGGACAAAAAAATAAAAAATAGGAAAGAAAATCAGGGCCAAGATCTGATTTTATATATTTTGAATTTAGGAGCCTGTAGAGGGTTAAAAACAACAACAACAACAACAACAAAACAGAAAAACTCCTAAAACATTTTGCAAATTAGGTTAAATACTGTTAAATTCCTGGACCCGGGCAAATAAGAGAATAACGATTTTGAAAATATTTTAAGATCATGATAATGGTGATCTGTATTTCATATGATGACAAGTAGAAATACAATTTGACCTAACTTGTTTGTTTTGCTTAGTTTATTGTATGTGGAATATTTAAACATTTACCTGGTACATTATCAAATTGAAGCATTTAGTCATATTTAAACATTAATAATGCTTTTCTTAAAGGTACTGTTGGGGATAAAGGAAGTTTTAGTAAAGAAATAGTTGGCTTTAATTTCATATACATCTTCAAATTGTGTGAAAATGTGTAATAAATGGTGGCAAAACAGTATCAAATTGAGCATATTATATTCATACTAAAATTTTAAGAAGCATTTGAATTGGAAATCAGGATTTTATATTCTAAAATAAAAATATATTCAAAAGAGCAGTCCCTAAGCCAATCTCGGTTTTGCAGGAATATTCAAAGTGTTCTTTCTATGAAAAATATAATCATATCAGACATTGAATAATAGATCCCATTTGGAAACTATGTCATTTCCTGCAAGAAGAAAGAAGTAGGCATAAGTTAGTTCTTATTTTTTGATGTGTATATTTTTGTGCTCTTCTTTATTCTGTCACATTGCATAAAATATTCTAGTTTCAAAAGTATTTCCTGCATTATGACTGGGTTTCAGTCAATCCAAGATAAAAATAAAGGCTATGGGGATATTAAATTGAATTGACCATTTCAAGGACAATGTTTTCTTTTATTAAATTTTGGAATTAGAGCTATTGAGCAGTTTTGTTAACAATTATCTATCTTGATTAAGTTGAATTGACTATTTAAACAAAAATATTTTCTTTTATAAAATTTTGGAATGAAATGTATTTAAAGCTTTGATAACAATTATTTATCTCAAATTATTTCTCTCTAATTTCTGTTCACAAGATCAATAGTTATCACAAGAAAAATGGAAAAACTGTATCATCCTAAAAAAGAACAAATTTTGTTCTTCCGTTCTCTTCTCTCATCTAAAACCAACAAACAAGAAAAATATGATCTGATAAATGACTGTGGAAATCATGACATAGTTTTATAGTTTACCTTTTAGCTATGTGTTGTGTTTGAAATTTCCTGTCCAGGATAAACACATCTATTTTTAGGGCTGGACGTATGTGATGATACAACATCTACATTTTGCAGAAAGGTGAAATGAATTGTACATTCATACATGCTAAGATCCAGTGAATGCTAAGAAAATAACATGATTTAATAAATAACAATGTTACTGAGTAAGCAAACATTATTTTTCACTAAAATTATAAAATATCAATATATGGCCTTAAAATATACTCTGCTAATATTTTAATTCAAAACCTAAAATTGTTGCCTTCTGTAGTAGATGCTACTGATGATCAGCCTACAACCTTTTAGTGCTGTAGTGCAAACTGGCAGAATTTCTAATGCTTATCCTGAATTTCTTTATCTAAGGGATTCTTTGGCCACAAGAGACCAGTTTGCCAACCAAACAGGCTGAAAGTTCCAGGGAATTAATGCCCCTGGGAGCAGCCCTCAGCTAATGACTAATGAGGATTGGTGTCTAAATATGTTAGCTCTCATTCTTACAGTAAGTATATCTGAGGGGTATATTACACACTGGATGCCTGATTTTCCTCATTCAGATTAAGCTGCAGTTGCCAATAGTGTTATAGGCCTGATAATGATCTCCATTGGTAACAGGTTTCACTTCTTTCTTTTCATCCCTGATAGCGTTTCCTGGGATCATCCCCCAAATAAACTTCTCACATTGAAGTTATTACCTCAGTGTTTGCCTCCACAGCAAACTAAACTGAGATCCTTTCGTCCTCGAAAATGAAAAGCTGGGCATGATGGCTCACACCTGTAATCCACCCAGCACTTTGGGAGGCCAAGGTGGGCAGATTTCCTGATGTCAGGAGTTTGAGACCAGCCTGGCCGACATAGCAAAATCTCCTCTCTACTAAAAAGACAAGAATTAGCTGGGCATGATGACACACACTTGTAGTCCGAGCTACTCCAGAGGCTGAGGCAGAAGAAAACAAATAGAATGAGAAAATAGCTCAACAGGCTTCTGAAGAATATTGTGGCTAAGATGGAAAAAGATGGCTCTCACAATATTCAGATGGCTTAGATTGAAACACAGAGGAAGGGATAAAATCATATTTGAGATTTGTCTAAGAAAGTCAAAAATATAGATGTGACATCATCAATGTCTGTATCACGGAGTTTGTATCAATGTTATGGTGGGAGGCAGGGGTAAAGAGGTAGATGTGTTTCTCCATTCTTACCCCTCCCTCAAAAACAGCAGGTCTTTTTAGTGGTTTGGCAAAAGATATATGCTGTGAATTCTTCTGGTACTATTTGAATTTATGTCAGATGTACACTCGAAATAACCGAATTAAAGGAAGACATAATTTGTGCTGTTGTATCTACCCAGAAAGACGTTTTTGTTTTGTTTACTGGAATAAAAATATAAAAGTCTTAACCAATTAATATATCTATTCTAGTTATAGTATGATTATGATTAGAAGAATAAGCTGTCTAAATGCCTTGCCATAGTAATCAAAGTAGAATGAAAATGAAAATCAACAAGTGTCTTCTAAAATTCGTTTTTACCTACTTAATCATCATCAACAGTGTATGTGCTTGGTTAGTCTAATTAAATAATATGTGAAACAGATAGTTGGGGCTACTTTGTTGCTTGAGGGGGAAAGGCATATATTGTTAAAGAACTATCACCAAGCCTTAATAGTAACATACCTGTGAGTTAAAACATTTAACACATCATCTAGAAATCTTGCTATTTTTCATAACCTAGGTATCTGTAACAATGTTTTCTAAATATTTACATATTTTATCAGTATTTCTTCATTATTTGATGACTTTCTTAAACATTTGCAAGAAGAATAAATAGAATTTTAAAAGATACACTGAACCTCTAAATTAAAATAAACGTATAATTATTGATTCATTCTAACTCCAATTATATTTTTATTTTTAGTTGTTTGTGATTCCATCTGACATACATAGGAGAGACAGAGATAGAAGAATTCTGATGGCAACTGTGTGATAGAAGCTATATAAAGTCAAGTGTCCATTTTCTTTCAACTATATTTGAGCATAACCTGGTAAGAATAAATGATTGTTTATACATTTTCAATTATTTCCAAAAAATACTTCAAATTATAAAAATACTGTTATTATGTGTTGAATGTTTAAAAATATATTCTTATCTTGTAAAAATAGCAAAATGCATAAAAGTAAAATAAAATTAAAAGCACTAATGAGCCTTTTTTCTGAAGGTAACTTCTGTTATCATTTTGTTCTGTTTGTTTTGTTGGATTTTTCTTTTAAGCAAAGTTGCAATAATAGTATTATATTTAGTTCATTTTCATGCTGCTGATAAAGACATACTCATGACTGGGAAATTTATCAAAAGAAAGAGGTTTAATGAACTTACAGTTCCATATGGCTGGGGAGTCCTCATAATTATGGAGGAAGGTGAAAGGCACATCTAACAAGGTGGCAGACAAGAGAAAACAGCTTCTTGAGACTCTGTGAACACACAGAGTCCCTACTGGGGCACTGCCTAGTGAGGCCGCAAGAAAGGGGCCACCATCCTCCAGACCCCAGAATGGTAGATCTACCAATGGCTTGCACCCTGCACCTTTGAAAAAGCTCAAAGTTCACAGATCTCTAGGGCAGGAGCAAAATGCCACCAATACCTTTGCTAAAACATAGCAAGAGTCAGCTTGGCTCCAGTTCCCAACAAGTTCCTCAATCTCCACCTGAGACCACCTGAGCCTGGATGTCATTGTCCATATTATCAGCATTTTGGTCAAGGCCATTCCACTAGTCTCTAGGGAGTTCCAAACTTTCCCACATTTTCCTGTTTTCTTCTGAGCCCTCCAAACTGTTCCAACCTCTGCCTGTTAACCCAGTTCCAAAGTTGCTTCTACATTTTTAGGTATCTTTTCAGCAGTGCTCAACTCCTGGTACCAATTTACTGTATTAGTCTGTTTTCACACTGCTGATGAAGACATACCCAAGACTGGGCAATTTACAAAAGAAAGAGGCTTAATGGACTTACAGTTCCATATGGCTGGGGAGACCTCACAATCATGGAGGAAGATGAAAGGCACTTCTCACATGGCAGCAGAGAAGAGAAGAGGGCTTGTGTAGGAAAACTCCCATTTTAAAAACCATCAGATTTCATGAGACCCACTCGCTATCATGAGAACAGCACAGAAAAGACCATGTTTCAATCATCTTGCACAAGGTTCCTTCCATGACATGTGAGAATTGCGGGAGATACAGTTCAAGATGAGATTTGGGTGGGGACATAGCCAAGCCATATCAATTATATACATTCTTTGTTTGTTGTATTATTTTTGTAACAAATTTGTTTTCTTCTATTCTTTGAGAAGATGAATTAGTGTTTTGTATTTTCTATTATATCTGTTAATATATAACATGATTTAAATTATTTTTATGTTGTGTGTATTTATTATTCAGTGAATATTCTTATAGATCAATCAATTTATATATCACTTGGTTTGCATTATTAGCACTACTAAAATTGTTATAATTGGCTCAATGACTATGATCTTTTAAAGGCTTTTTATTGTTATTGCTGAGTTTGCCTTCAGAAGGTGGTAACAAGTTAAAGTTTTCATTAGCTTCTTTTGAAAATATTGAATCAGTGACTAATGTTTTCTCACTCAAATAATTTTCCTAACAAAACCTAGTTTCCAGCAATCCCATTACTGGGTATATAACCAAAGGATTATAAATCATTCTGTAAGAAAGAGTTATGCACATGTATGTTCATTGTGGCACTGTTTACAATAGCAAAGACCTGGAACCAACCCAAATGCCCACTGATGATAGCCTAAACAAGGAAACTGTGGCACACATACACCATGAAATACTATGCATTCATAAAAAACGATGAGTTTGTGTCTTTTGTAGGGACATGGATGAATCTGGAAGCCATCATTCTCAGCAAACTGACACAAGTACAGAAAATCAAACACCACATGTTCACACTCATAGGCAGGTGTTGAACAATGAGAACACATGGACACAGGGAGGGGAGCACTACACACTGGGGTCTGTTGGGGGGAAATAGGGGAGGGACAGGGGGGGGGGGGGAGGTTGAGGAGGGATAACATGGGGAAAAATGCCAGATATAGGTGATGGGGGGACGGAGGCAGCAAACCACATTGCTATGTACGTACCTATGCAACAATCCTGCATGATCGGCACATGTGCTTCAGAACCTAAAGCACAAAAAAATAAATAAATAACCTAGTTTAAGTTGAAAAAATATTGAAAATTAAATTTAAATTTTTGTTGTAAGCAGTAGCAATTCCTTACTCACCTGTATTCAGCAAATATATTCCCTTACATAACTAAGCCTAGAGGAAAAGTGAATATTATAAGGCCAGGTGTGGTGGCTCATGCCTGTAATACCACACTTCGGGAGGCCTAGTTGGTGGATTACCCGAGATCAGGAGTTCAAGACAAGCCTGGCCAACATCATGAAACCCTGTCTTTACTAAAAAATACAAAAATCAGCTGGGCGTGGTGGCAGGTGCCTGTAATCTTAGCTACTTTAGAGGCTGAGGGAGGAGATTCACTGGAACCTGGGAGGTAGAGGTTGCAGTGAGCCGAGAATGCACCACTGCACTCCAGCCTGAGCAACAAGAGTGAGACATTTCAAAAAAAAAAAAAAAAGAAAGAAAGAAAAGTGAATATTATACATGTAAAATCTTCCACATTGTTTAAAAATGCACCATTTAGAAATATTATCAAGTATACATTTATTCAACTAATATTTATTGAAAACTTATTATAGTTATCAAGCACTGTGATTAGCAATGGTAATGAGGATGGCAAACATTAGAGAAGGTAAGGCACATAAATAGTTCCTTGTCACTTCTAACTTTCAATAAAATATGGCAAGATAAGAAATACATTTTGGTTCCTTATGTTTAAGTAGGCTGTATGAAGTGCCAAGAAAGAAGTAAAATAAAAGGGCAGTTTGTAATGATAACAGTTCTAGCTTGGGAATTGAGAAACACTTTCAGAAAAAAAGACTGCTTGTATTGTGCTTTTTAAGGTAGAGAGGACACTGGCAGGCAAACATTCAAATGGAGATTCAACTTGGAGCAAAGGTACCGGGCTGGCAAACTATAGGGATGGGATGGTCAGGAAACTGGAAAGAAGGTAGATATAGCAGAGTAGTTGGAAATGTGTTTCGTGATTTGGATTTTTATAATTAGGCATTTGTGTTTCATTATTATATCATGAGGAACAATTGCCAGGAAATCAGATGAACTATATCATCCTTTAGGAAGTTTAATCTAGGCCAACCGCATTGGCTCATGCCTGTAATTCCAGCACTTTGGGAGACTGAGGCAGGTGGATTGCTTGAGGCCCACTGCTCCCTAAATTAGTTCCAGCACCGGTTAGGGTAAGGCCTTCCCCTGTAGCCTGAATTGCCAGATTCTGTGATAGGATTGTATACCCTGAAGGCAGTTTATCCTACTCCCACATTCTGGAGACTTGGTTTTCTGCCTGGCTTAAAAGATGCAGGCTGTAGCCTACCATTTCTTTCAAAGCATCTGTGATTTCTTTCAGTTTTCTTGTTAAGTTCCTACTTTGCTTCTTGTAAGAAAATTCACAGTGTGACTATCTACATACCATTTTTTCTTTCCAAGTGAGTGAGGTACGGTAACAATGCCATCAATCTGCCATCTTGTATAAAAATGAATTTGTTAATACATAACTATGAGTAGGTATGTTTTTACAAGTTCAGAACCTACCATCTCTAGAATATCATTCCCAGCTTTTGGAATCTGGACCAGATCCTTCTATGTGCTGTGAACCTTAACACCATGTACATTTCTTTATCATAGCACACAGTGTGTGCTTGTCTATTATCCCCTGAGAGTATAAGATTCTTGAGAATTGGGTCATTATTTATGATCACAGATATAAATTTAAATCTAAATAAAACTTACTGAAATTTTTTTAATAGAAGATACTCCATAAATTTTGCTTATATGAAAAGTTGAATCTGTGCCCATTGTTTATTTGTCTTAATTATCACTGACTTAGTCTTACCAGCTTAATACAGTGTTTATGAATTATCTCACAGTTCCTGTGGACCAGGAATGTGGGTACAGCTTAGCTGGTACCTCTGGCTCTAGGTGTCTCATGATGTTGCAGTCAAGCTGTCGGCTGTAACAATAGTCATTCACAGCCCAACTGGGGCTGAAGAGGCCAATTCCAGACTCAGTCTCCATGGAGCTGCCTTATGATATGGAAGCTGACTTCCTCCTGAACAGTCAATCCAAAGAAGAAAAAGTGATCACCCACGATGGAAGCTATGTTCTTTTATAACCAAATTAGGAAATGTCATCCCATCTGTAGTGAGTTGAACGGTGGCTTCCAAAAAGATATGTTTAAATCCTAACCTGGAGTACTTGTGAATGTGACATTACTTGGAAAAAGAGTCTATGCAGGTATAATTAAGGATCTTTAGATGCAATCATCCAAGATTAATTGGATGAACTCTAAGTCCAAAAACATGTATCTTTAAAAGATACACACAGAGGAGAAGACCATATGGAGACAGAATCAGTGAGTGATGTGATACAGACACAAGCGAAGGAGGAGTCACCAGAAGCCAAAAGAAGCAGGGAACAAAATCTCTCCTACAGCCCGGGGAGAAAGTGCTGCCTTCCAACACCTTGATTTCAGAGTTCTGGGTTCCAGAACTATGAGAGAATGAGTTTCTGTCCCTTTAAGCCATCCACTGGTAACTGGTAATTTGTTATGGCAGTCACAAAAAACTAATAGACCACCATTGTTGTAGTTATCTATTTTTTAGAAGTGAGTCACTAGTTCCAGCCCACAATCAAGAGAAGGGATCACAACAGGACATGAATACTAACAGGGAGAGATCATTGGAAGCCATATTCGAGGTTACCTATTCCATCTGATTATTGGGAACCTCCATTTCCGTGTTGTATCTACATAGATGGACTAAAGCCAACAGGTCAGATATTAGAATCATTATCTCACATTTTTAAAAATCATGATCTTTCACTTGTATTTT